CAGAGGGGACTCAGCTCTGAGCAGTACTTGCTGTTCAGGTTGCTGCACTACCTGGAGCAACCTCGTTACCTAACAGTTGGGAAATGCCTTCTGATTTGCAGCCCAGATTTATTTCTGATGCCTGTATTAATGCGTGCCTAGGTAGTGCCTCTTCTCTAATGAGTCAGGAGATAAATCAGGGATGAAAATCAGAAGGATGGAATTTCCCAACCACTCTAACACTTCCTTCCCCGTTAAGGAAGGTCATTAACCTGACTAGCTCCAGTTCTTCCTGGAATTTGATTTCTGGAGCTTGTGAGGATTGAAGACTGTCCCAGGAACCGCATGCAGCATTTACAGCATGTTTAGCTGCCGTTGTTCCTCCTCAGACACTGTTCATACTGTGGGGGCAATTTGCTAGACCCAGAGCTGGTGCCTGCAACATTTGCAGAGTTTCTGGTATCGCCCAGAGCCTACAGAGCATCAACCATGGCATTGACTGGTGCTTCCACCACAAGGAGCTGCAAACCCTGCTCAATCTGTGACCAAGCCTGCAAGGCCTTTGGGTTAGAGACCACTCCCACCACTTCTGAGTTTTGGGTTTGCTGGAAAAAATTTGGCATCCTCTGTGTGTTTTCTTGCTGGTGCGTGTCCTCGGTGGAGAGTGCAGCCGGTGCTGCCTGCTGGGACCTCTGCAGCAGCAACAGCGTTATCTGCTTTGTGGGGATGTGCACAACTTCACCATCAGCTGGAGGGATGCAGTGACCTGATGGAGCAGACTGGGGACACCTCCTGCCTCAGCCGTCCCAGCTCCCACCCCAGAGTCCTGGCTGAGTAATGGGGAGCTCTGTCCCAGCAGGTGAGCGGTGCTGCTGGTAACACCACAGTCAGCCAGCAGAGCTGCTGTTGGTACAAACGCTGGTGGCACTCATTTTTAAAAAGGGTAGAAAGGAGGACCCTGGGAACTACCAACCTGTCAGCCTCACCTCTGTGCCTGGGAAGATCATGGAACAGATCCTCCTGGAAGCTATGCTAAGGCACATGGGGAACAGGGAGGTGATTCGAGACAGCCAGCATGGCTTCACCAAGGGCAAGTCCTGCCTGACCAACCTAGTGGCCTTCTATGATGGAGTGACTATAGCAGTGGACAAGGGAAGAGCTACGGATGTCGTCTATCTGGATTTCTGTAAGGCCTTTGACACGG